ACGATACCGTTATGTGAGTCTACAGCTTACCTGTGTTATAGTCCCCCCAGCCCCGCCCTCAAAAATATTCAGGCCAGTAATTAGTAGCAGGGTCAAAGCTGTAGCTGGTCTGGGTGTTATAGTAACTTTCAAAAGAAGTTTCTGGCTATCTTATAGAGAAAGTTTGGGTAAAAAGACCTTTCGAAAAGGCGTTTAACCTACTACCAATCATTCTTTAAGAAAAAGCTCTTCTTTTTGATAAATTTCTGTTAATTGCCCTGCTGAAACGTTCAAGTTCCTGCCAAGCTCCCTGAAGCAGTCATGAACTGGGACGATTAACCAAACTGTTGATACCATTCGTCTTCCAGTGATGGCACCGGGAAATTGGAATCGTATTTTATCCAATTTCCCCTAATGAAGTGTGGAATATATGCACATCCGTTTGTAACCGAAAAAGGCCCCTCTCGTCAAGGGTCTTTGAATAGTTAATCAAGAAAAGCTTTTCAGACCATGACAATCGCAGCTTATGCACCTGAACATATCACCAGAACCTATACGATCAGTGTAAAAGCTCAGCCACCATGCAATGGAGAATTCAAGGTTCGGACTGGAATTTATTTGTCCTCAGCACCTGACTATGTATGTCCGCCTAGGCCAATCAGAATGGGAGTAGAATGCGAAAAAGCGTTCCTCAAAAGGGATTGTAGCACATGGTCACGGGCTCAAATCCCGGCTTGATATCCGCCAAGGCCAATCAACGCTCCGTCCTTCCGGGGTGGTAATTAGTACCAGACTCGTCTGGTAGGATAAAAGCACTGACTTGTACATCGGCTGGCCACCGCAAATCATTGTATAGGCCACATACGCACTCACTACGCCACTACGATTCTGAATGAGAGTCGGATGCAGGGGCGCATTCCTCAGAGGGGATTGATCAACGCCCGAAGAACTTATCCTTTATCCTTTATTTTAGCCAGGATTTATTACTATTTTTACCCATTTTTTACCAGGAATCCATTCATTTAGGCGATCGTTCGTCGTACGAAAGATGGCTTCGAAATGGCTTCCAAGACTATCGAACGGCTAGATCGATTTAAGAAAAATGGAGATTGTGTCGACGACTCATTGAAACACCTCTGTCACTGCAAACCTGTGCCTAAGCCATCGAAAACTACGGGCAAAGCATAATATGGCTGGCTGCAATTTCTATGGTCGAAAATCAAGGACCTGCCATGCAATTCCTACTGTATCTACCGTAACGCTGCACGTCAGAATACGTCAAGTTCGACAAGATTCGGCTTCATTCCATGGAGCACAACCACCACCGTGTGAGGCGTATGGAGGTATAGCCTGATTGTCACTGTAGGAAATGATCTGCTGAATGCCATAGCCACAGCGCCTTTTCCAGTTGTGCCACTCATATCCGTCTGTGTCCATAGTGTTGGAATTTGTTCATTCCTTTTCGATTTATTTAGTCGCCTTAGCTTCGTTTTTTCTTTGGTAGAACTCACGGGTGTATATTTTTATTCGGTGTTTAAATTATATCATATCGATTAATGGTGTCTTTTTACAAGTGCCAAAATCTTTCTGACTGAAAGATCTCTTAATTTTAAGTTTGAAAGTCTTAATATACGGAAAGAGAAATGCAGGAATCGTTCCCGATTCGACAGCGGCACTGCTGACTGCCTTCCTCAGAAGAACTTCCGGTGCCATATCAAAGTTTAATTGCAATTGTTTTTGTGCATTCTGTACTTTAATAAAATATGATTTTTGATTATTTTTTTCAGACGACAGTTTTAATCTGCGTGAAGTACGTAGTAAACGTATTGTGTAGCCTCTAAATCTGCAGCAATCATTTGTTCATTGCCTTCAGAATTGCCATACCAACAGTTTGTGCTTCTTAAAGAGGAAGTAACTTTAATGGCGTAAACCGGTCAGGCAGGCTGGTTGATCTTGTGGTAGCCTAACTGGTGGTCTAGAGGATAAGCGAAGGAGTGACTTCTTTGACGATAATCGATCCCGTCTCGGGATGCGCCCCGTATTCAACTCTCGTTTAATATCGTAGCTGTGTTTGAACGTGTATTTGGCCAATACAGTGGTTTGCGGTGTCCAGGTGGCCAGCCATACTGCAAGCTAGCGCTTGCATCCTACCAGACGAGTCTGGTACCAATTAGCCGACTCTGGAGGGATGGAAGGCTTGGTTGGCATAGAAGGATGTCGATCAGAGATTCGAACCCGTGACCGTGCGTGTGTGGTAGTGCGCCGCCCACTAGTTCACCCTGTCCGCCCTTGTTTTGAGAATNGGGGGGGGGGGGGTCCCAACACTGTAGTTTGAAACAGTTCACATTTAGCTTGAGGGGCTCTGGGGCCGAAGAACCAGCTGATTTCTTGTTGAACTACATCCTCAAATAGGCTATGGAATTATTTAGGAACCAAAATTTCATAGGTGATATCCCACCGTATTGAATTCTCTAGATATCTCTACACCACTCAGGGTAGATATGTCCACGAAAAGAAGCAGAGCCCATCGTCAGCGGATTGTCACCCAAGCGCAAACAGGGATAAGCCATAGATGTTTCTGTTGATGGGTTTATAGCAGTGTAAACTATCGAACACATAGCTCCCATATGGGTGATAAATCAAATTGTAATGGATATACAGTGTATAATAAAATCGTAAAAATGGTGTTATGAGCACGGACGTCCTGTTTACGACGGAAGTTACTTCTGTCATAACATTTGCATAGCTCGGGCAAAAATACGGTAGCTCACAAACCAGGAAGTACCTTGAAATCGAAAATTCCAGTCAATCAATTTAAGGACTACCTTTTACCAGTTCAACACCAAAAACAATTGACCATGGGTAGATAACCTTAATTTTACCCTCCAACTACGCAGTACGGTGCTATTCAGTTTTCCAGTTACTTATCCGATAGTATTCATTGGTGTGATCCTTTCACAGTAATAGTATTGTAGTCACTGAAGTTGTCCCTGAGACTTGGAGGGGACAAAAACAACCATTAAATATGTGATTCACTTTTGGATTGATAGTGGGTGGAGGTGGTGTAGGGGCGAGTGGCGCTCGCTATTGGATGCATGGCTCGAAGATTGATTCTCAGATTAGTACCCATACAATTCATCCGAAACTTTCATCCCTCCCGGGTCGATAAGATGACTCCCGGGTCGATAAGATGATAACAAATTGTTAGGGACGATGAAAGCAATGCTTTGTACGTTGGCTGATCACCACAAGTTATTCTATAAAACCCACATTCATTGCATTCGAGCCTTGCATTCAATTCAATTTCATTTCATTCAAAACGCCTCCATGATTCTGAGCGGAACTCGAATGCAAGGCTCATCCCAGAGTGGGACTGGCCGACGCCAGGAGCCCGAAGATGTCAGGACTTCAACTGATACGGTAGATATCACACGCCTCACCCCATAACCACCATACTCGATTCTTCATCATTCTTTTCCTCTACGTTCTTCTTCATTACGCTTATATTATATAAAATCATTTCGGGTACTTGGGCATACTTGTTTATTCTGGAATACAGCTGGATTCCCCGCTATTTTCCCTTACAATTAGTCGTTCGGTAGATGAGGCCTTTTCCATAACAATGTCTATCGGATTACATTCCTATGCTTACAACCTCTTTTTTTTTTAAATGAATTTCCTTTCCATTGAGCCATTCCTTTTTTAAGTTCCAAAAGAAGTGACATTAACGTTGTCCCAGTTGGTTACATACATGAACTGGTTCTCAATGTCAGTAGAAGAATGTTATCTTGTCTGGGTATCTAACAATGAAGGGTAGACCATAATTAGACCCTGGAAGGGTTACCCATCACCCCGGAACCAGCTTTTCTTATTGGCATGTGGTGGATGAAATGGATAAATCTAGGCCATATAAGGAAGGGTATATGCAGTTGAAGGGTACCGTGAAGAATTCGTGGGTACAGCTCAATCTCAGAGAAGTTTCCCAAGCAGAAATGTGAACGAGGTCCGGGCACTAGAAGCCTGAAGAAAAGGAAGGAAGTGTTCACGTGCTGAGGTATCAATGAAAGGAAGTGTTCACGTGCTGAGGAAGTATGAGTTAGGCCGAAAGCTACACCCAGTAAAATACAGAGTAAGTAGTTCCGGAAACCAACGGTACACGATAGGGACATCATGAAGCTTACCCAAGTGGAACAGGGAAGTTACTCCGACAGCTTCTCGGCTATCACTCCATCTAAACGGAAATTCATCTGTTCCGCTTTCGATTCTTCGGTTCTTCCTTTAAGATGATCATATACGAAAGGAGATTGAATGACGTCATTTCGACAAACTCAGGCCTCATAAAGGTTTACCAAAGTTCAGGGATCACTTGGCGTTCGAATGACTTTGGTGCCTCTCCCATAGGGTCGAAACTTTAGTGGTTGAATGAGGACGCATAGAAAGCCGAACAATGAAGGTGAGCGCCCATATTGTTCAGGCTACCGTATCCCTAGATATATTGCCAATAAAGCTTCAAGCTGAGCTCATAAAGTAGAGTAGTGTTACGTGGCTGGTCGAGCGAAACCTGGATGCCACCCTTCGTAGTGAGAGCGATGCCAGGTGATTCTGTGGAAACTACTATAAAACGATTTCTGGCAAGTTGCCAGCTTAGGCACCTATTCTAGTAAACAGCCCTGCGATAATGGTCGAATCGACGGTTTTTGTTGGTTCCCCAACTGTCGATTGCAATAGTGAGACCACCTCTTACAACTTTGATGCGGTACGCTCCAGTCCTCAAGGCCGTGTTAGGCCGTATAGAAAATCTTTTTCGGGGCTATTTGGGTCAGATTATATCTGGAAGAGTCGGAATAATAGTGTATAGCATATATGAAGGCAACAGATGAGAATAATTCGGCTCTTTTGGCCCCCAGACAGAAGTAACGTTGTCGAGTAGAGGTGGTTACCAGCTTCTCCACCATGATTTGGTTCTACCAACCGGGTCACCTACATGATTACAGACTGTCCTGTAGAGTTAAAAACTTGATGAGCAAAGAGTACTTTCATCATGATGGCGAGATAACCTTTCAAATGGCTCCGAGGTTTTGAGTGTAAGTCGAATAAATGGCGCATCCCAGAAAAATGACCTATATTCCCCCTCTCTTACTACTCTTCAACCTTGCATTGCTCTTTTTGAATTTTGAAGCCCTTAATACTTCCCAAGTAAGCAATCAGCCTCGTTTTTGATGTCCTTTCACTTTTCTTTGGAGTGAAAGGGCGAGAGAAACCAAAGTTCGACGAGGTAATTGCCTCCGAAAATGAAAGCGCTGAACCCATTTCATAGTCGTCCATCAATGGAAGTGCGTGGTGAGATGTACGGCGTTTATAATGGTGCTCCATATGGTGGTAAAAATCCCATAAACCACTTTGAGGTGGATCCTGCATTGATTTCCTGTCACCTGTTGGATAGCATAGTTTGAAGAGTGTGGATATGCAATCGCCTCGGTTACAACAATGAGTTGACGGAGGGATCCGGACACTCGGGGCCATAGGGGGACCCGAATGAGACTGACACCCGAACCAAATCGACTCTATGTGAACTGCAATGAGAGTGTGAGGGGTCTCGGGGATAAACCTTCCCTGACGAGAGATCGGATTTCACAATGGCCACAAATGGAGGGTGCAGCTAGGTTGGATAGATGAGTCACTACGGACGCAGACGGTTAGTCGGACAGAGAGAGTGTAGTTTTGGTGGAGAGTCCAAAGATCAGCTATGATCGGCCCCGCAAGCGAGCAGCTGCAGTGTGCGTTGTGTGCGGCGGGTTGTCCTCGGCGGCCGATGGCGTGTCAAACCGGCATAAGAGGTTCGTTCCCAAGTTTCTTCATATAGTTACTTACTATTTGGTATACTGTACCTATTCAGTCCTTATTCTTACTCATCTTTATTTGAATGTTAGGTTTCCGATCGTTTATTCGCTTTCGAAAAGTTTTACAAACGGTCCAGACAGCTGTTTCACAGCTGAGAATAGTTTTTGTGCCAAAATATTCAAACTCCAATCTTCTTGATCTATCTTGAAGATCTCGTAGTTTTGTGCTGCTCATTTTGCTCTTTTAATGTATTATATCAAAGCCGGATTATTTGATATAAAATTAATGTCTAAATCTTCTACATTTGTCATAGGATTTTGCTGTTACTGGCGTTTGGCCTTTTGGGCCATTTTCAAAACCCTTTGCTAACTGCTTCATAGACGGGAAGTAGGTAAAAAGTCTTGGTAAATGTTTTTCGGTAGTCAGAAGTTTTCAAATCCTTATACTCATTTATCAGAACCTAACGAGCAAAAGTTATATTCTCCCGACTACATTTGCAGAAGAAATGGTTATTCTTGTCATGATCTTGGTATTCATCTATGGGGTAGTATCAGGGAGTAAGACCTACACAATTCATCGCGCTTGTTGTCCCAAATTTATGTCACTGTTGTAATAAAAAATCAAGTTAGGGCGTTGGCCGCAGTTATGAAACTCCTATATCTATATATGTAAGGAATTATGCGAAGAAAAAGTTGTAGTGCCAATCTGCTCCTAACCCAGCTGGCGCCAAAAGTAAATGACATATTTGTGATAAGAGTCATTAACTAGACGTTCAGATGAGCCTTTGGCGGAATCGATCAGGTTTGGACATGCTCTTTGTGGTCAGAGCTCATAATTGAGACCGATAGCAATTCATTTCCTTAAGGAGCCGTTCGAAAAGGGCAAAAGGTTTCTGCGTTGAAAGCCATATTTACTTTTGCCTCAGAAGATGCTTTTAAACATACTAGCGGCCGTGCTTTCAAGGCAGCTGTTTCGTGAGACTTGAATCATGCTCGTCTTTTGGGAATAGGTGACGATATTTTCCCAAGTGATGAATCGTCCAAGATTGTTTTTGGGGTGGACTCTCATGAGTGTTTCCTTTGTGATGATGTTGCCATTAAAGAATGACAATAATCACTGACGTTACTGAGGATCACATGGAACAAATCGCAACTCCCCTATCTCTTATTTCCGGGTTTCCATCAAAGGACGACTCGGACATACCTTTATTTACCTTGGTGTCCGTATATTGTTTCGGCAATGTACTCTGATGGCTGACCATACCAATGACAGCCGTTTGTATACTTGTCCTCGCTGGGTATAATGGTGATATGGGAGACACAGTGGTGGTTAGAAGCATATTGAAAAGGTGCCATGGTGGCATTATGCCATTATGGCTAAAGTGAATACTAGCATTCAGTGACCAAAAACCTAATCGTTAACATTAGCAATAGCAGACTTCGCTTTCATAAGGACCGCAATTCATGTTGGCAGCACAAAAACAACGAGCGATGAAGACTCGTTAACGATTTCGATGGGAAAGAAGAATAGGGAGACGTATTGATGTTACGAGAGAAATTGCGCACTTAATTCTAATGTTCCACCCATTTCATTTGATACTAGGCTTTCTATAGTGTGCTCGTTAAAGTTGTCATAGTGTTCGATTGTTTTCGCCAAATATACACCTCAGTCGCTAGTTTATCATCGTGATCGCTGTGAATTTACTTAGGGTGGTATCTCAATTTTGCGGTAGGGCCGCTCAACCATTCTTTGCTGATAACGTCACAAGGGGTTTCTGCAATTTTGCACTGATAACGATTTCAGCAATAGAACGATGTAACTTCAGCGTTCCAAAATTCTAACCAAATTGTTAAGGTGGTGTAGAAACTCTTATTTGTGGCTATTCTTATTTATATTTATGTCTATGCAGGTTTTCAATTAGCGACTAGTAGCTCCATCCGAAACCCTCTGTCACCTCCTCCAGTCATAACAGCTTGTTTTGTTCACCCAGAAGAATAACCACGCAAGCCTCCATTCCCTCGCCTTCTTGGAACCGTATCCATCGGAACAGAGAACTGTTATTAATTGGAATTGGTGGCTGCCTACAAATCGGTGACATTCACATACCCAATATATCCAGTTAATCGTAAGAACTAGCTTTACCATTTTTTGAACAGGAAATTTATTACCATATGCGACTCATGAATCGTCGCTATGACTTATCGTGACAACATCGCTATCCCACTGCCTGAATGAATTGTCAGTTTTTCTATTTTCGGAAATTTATTTCACTTGAAATTAGGTGGCCGCTTTTAAATTGGATTCAGGTAATACATTTTCTTACAACTTACAAAAAACTTTGGCCAAATTGACACTAGTTTTTTATCAGCATCTTTAACATAAATTGAATGGCTGCTAGGGATTGGTGAAGTGATTTGTCAAAGCATAGAGGGCCGCTTGTCGCGAGCCATGAGCAGCTGTGATCGAATACCTTTCAGGCTAGCCAAGCTTTGTTTGTCTTATATTGTCTTTGTTAGGGATGTTCGCGTTCTCTGGAGGGCTTGAAACTGTATTTCATTCTTAGTACTCTACACTTTTCTTTGCTTTTGCTGATCCGAAACATTGGTGGGAACGCTTTTTACTCAGTACCCGTTGACCGGATATTCAATTCTTAAAATATACAAGCAGCATGTTGAGAGACAGTCATTTATTACTTTTTCGGCACCGAGCAGATTCATTGGATTAAGATTAAAGATTAGAATTAAGTTAGTTTTCGACGATAACAGAATGATGGTAATAGTGAACTCTTTGAATATTTAAAAAATTGACCCTTTCCTTTTTTAAAGTTCCTTATTGAGTCTGTCATGGCAATATCTTTCGGAATACTTCGTTTCGCAATTGATATTTATGCGAAAATACTAGACACCTTTTGTCAGTTCTGCTGTCAGTTCCGCGTGACGACATGCATTTCTGAGTAAGTTTTCCTCTATACGAAAGCAGTGAGTAGAGATATTGGTCGTGGTAGTTCCTTTTGTTGTCCACAACATAATGGACTCCCCTTCAGTGCAACATAGATGCCCTGGTAAAGAGATAAGGGCACCGAGCGAAGACATTTCTAACTGGTAAGATATACGTACATCGTATCATTTATAGCAATTCGATCACTTCAGCTCCATTTTGCTTTCCGATGATGGTGGTTCCAAGAAAACAGAATTCTCAGTTCAATAAACGAGCTTGAATTTTTGACATCTGCATTTATTTCCCTGTGGTTTCGCATAAAGTAGGTGCTCAGAACTTGGATGAATGTATAAAACTTCTTTGAAACAAAAAAAAATACTTATTATTCATGAAATATCTCGCCGAATCTCGTCCTCCTTTCACTGATTTCCATTTGCATTAGCCTTAGTCGAATATAAATCGACTTTCCTAAAACATTCCAGATTATGTATGGAAAATGGCAGGGAAGGGATTGTTCAACGGGGGCGTTTCGTTGGTTCCACACTGAGATTATGGGATTAAAAGCAAGATTACTGGCAAATGTTTTCAAGTTCTTGAATTTTGGCAATGTGAGGATTTGGGGTTACACTTCCGCTGGGATTATTTTTTTGAATATTTTGTTGAGCCTGAGTTGGCAGAAGCTTTGTGATGATTTTGCGAAAATCTTGATTGATTTGCAACAACGCTGGAGTCCTGTGCTCGATTTGTTCCACGCCGTTTCTTTCTTTGTTCGGGGGCTCACTTGAATCCAAATATAGAGCCGCTTGAGAATATCGGCTGTTGCGTGACCATTGATGAGATGCACTCGTCGCCAAGCTCTAGAATTTTCAGTCTCCCAACTCGAATTCCCTAATGAGGGCAGCGGGATTGCTGCTTAGCCTTCACATTGTTTGTCACGATACTGTTTTTGCCGAAACTTCGTTATCCTAAATCAATATTTCTCTAGCTTTGAAACAAGGCTAACGTTTTCAAATGTCACCAAAAAGTAATTTTTTGTGATGTTTTCAACCTTGAAACATGCTGAGCGAACAGTGTTTTTCACATCGACATTCGGCGACATCTTGAATAAACCGGTATTCCTCCTCGAACGCCTCGATAATCCTCGTGCATTAAGTGCTCCGATCAAAAAAGTAGTGAGAGTAAGACTGGCAATATAACATAAATACGGCTTCTCAACAATGGATGAAACAAATGTGGCATTTTCAGTCTTTATGATTCTGAAATATAGCCATTCCTCTTTCAATTGATGGCATTCGGCAGCCGATGGGCGTATTGTATTGAAATAATGGCTGAGCAAACACCCAGTTGTAGCTTTTCGCTTGTCCATTTGTGACGGGGCGATGAGAGATGGTGATGAATAAGTGCATGAATATTATTGCCACATGATTAAATTCTATTATGGCAACATCAGTGATTGGATTTATGGAAATCAACATTGCTCTCTCTCCCGTTCAAAGTTGTAGTCAATTCCCATGGGGAGCTGTTAAGACGGGAGTTGAAACACCGTATTTTTCCCATCAATTTTTGGAGTTTCTCATTCTCCTCTACTATCTCAATGTGTCATAGCCGATGGCATTACGCTGTCGCCTAGCTCGGGAGTTAAACGGCTGCCGCCGAAGTAAAAGCGACTATGAAAACCTATACTCAAATGACCATAAAGCTGACAGATTATTTTCCTTGTCTCAAGTGTTTTCTGTTGCAGCTAACGACGCCCTGAAGCATGCGTTCAATCTTGGCAAGCAAGCTAAACTGCGTCTCATCAAGGTCGTCGTAAGAAGTGGTGAGTGCAGATTTTATGAAACCTCCTAAATTCACTTATCACTACCTTCATTTTCGCTAGAAATTCTCAATTATGTGAGCCTTTGGAGCGAATGTTGGTAGCTGTTCATAGATTGGGTTTCATAGTTATAGATTATTGGTAGGAAGGCAGGTGTTTGCTTTTACTTTGGGGGAATTCCCAGAAAAGAACGGGGTGAGTACTCCACATTGTGCCATGGGGTGAAAGTTGATGTGGCCATATCTCCTAAGTCGTCGAAGTTAGCTACTCTCACCAGAGACGCAACTGTTGGAGATTCCTAGCCGGAATGGAATTCACTTCGAATTTCGTTTGGTTCATGAGTTCTCGATAAGCGTTGGGCTGCTGCTCGTGATGCTTACGTTATCGCCAGTGATTCATGATGAGGAATAGGCTTTTTGTGAAAACATGCTTCTCGTGCCATTCCTGACTGGATTGAAGAGGTGGCAGCAGGTTTTTTCCCTTTACAGCTTTTACTCCGCAGTAATTTCTCCACTTGTTTCTGGCAGTGATGAACAACGGAATGGGAACATGAACAAGGTGAAATTCCACACTGTAATGGGGTAATTCGATCGGAAGAATGAGGAAGATGGAAGGAGCTGATGATTCGAGACTTCGGGCTTGTTATAATCAAATAGAAGAGAAATTGCGTCAAGGCACAACAGGAGGGGATAAGTATAGGGGTTACGTAGAGGCCATAATATCAACGATGTGGTGTTGTTGAGGTGTGAGGTCGCCCGGGCAAAATTGTCTCTAATAGGCAATGAGCACTTTAAAACTGTTTGGGTAGTGATTCTCCATCCTGGGTCATCGTGTACATTTGAAGATCTGATCTATACTTGAACGTCAAATGTCGAGAAAGAGTTTGTTTGAAATTTCGTTTCTTTGTTCTCGGAACACAAGATGTCGTCGTAGACCTTTTGGAGTGTCATTGGTGAAATTTGCGGGGTAAACAGCGCGGTGGATTATCCCAAGCGTGCAAGGCACTCAACCCGAATCCCAAAATGAGCCAACTTCAGTATCGTGAAGATGCGCTGGACTACGACCATTTATGACTGCCCCAGGGACGTCTAATCCAAATCACCCCCTTTTGCAGCAAAGTTTCTTCTTCCTTGGAGGTTCCATAATTGGTCCTAGTTTGCGACAGAATATAAAAACCGACCTGAATAGCGGCCGGTCCAAACCTTTTTCAGAGAGCAGGGACCTATTCAAACGTCTTGAAGATCCCTTGAAGGGAACGTATTTCGACGGTGACAGGTTCCGGATAAAACGGATAGCGCCACCATCCGTTCATCCGGCTTCTTCTAAACATTATTAAACATTTATCGTCTGAACTTCTTTATTCAAGTTAAATAGGATAGGTGATAACGTTCCCTCGTGCTCATGACTTGTATAGGGAAGCGTATAGTGAATCTGAAGCGAGACAATGTGTTTTGTGAGATTCTAGCGCTGATTGGTTTATTCTCAAGGGTATTGAGCCGAAGCGAGTCCTCCTCGGAACTAACTTTACGAAAACGTTTAGTCGCGAATCACAGTCATTGGCAAGGGGCAGAATTCAACGATCAGGATGGATAGCTTCGTTGCAGCACATTGGCAACAATTGCGCTCATTGACCCAGTGTTGCACGGCCATAATTAATCCCAAGCTGAAGCCTCCCCTGTGGCTTTGTTGGTGCTGTTGAAGAGTGTAATTGAATATATTGCTCTAAAGGGAGCCAATGTAATTAACAGCCCGCTATGAGCGGGACAGCGAAATAAGCTGATAAATGCAGGGGCACTTTTTATGATCAAAATTTAACTGAAAAGCAGGGTTATTCTTCTGCATTTGTGATTATAGTTGATTGCTGCTTTTAGAGGAACTCACGCCTAATTACGAGTACGCTGGTACGGGTAACTGGAGAGACGATTGGCGGGCTACACTTCCTGAATGTGTTGATGCTTTCGAACCGTGCTTTATTCTATTCAGGCTCAATACTATTACCGAATGGATTTTAATAACGTGAGTATCATCATATTCTGCTAGGTTTAGAGGGGTTTGGTGTATGACTTGATTGGGAGGGAGTTTTGCTGAGCATATTTCAGAGGATGAGTTCTAAACAGAGAAAATCGTCGGTGTTCTGTTCATCTCTTCGATTTTCTAGGTTTGCCGATGATCGTGCACCTATCAAAGAGAAAATGTTATTAGCTGCTACTCGTGCGACCTTCAAGAGTGAATTTGGACCTTGTTATGTTGAGCATGAGAAACATGTCACTGATAGAAAGGTATATTCGGAACCCCGCACACTCACGGTTTCAGAGACTGATTTTTTCGATGTTCAAATATTTATTTGATTTTTGGCCGCTTCTAGGATCTTTCCTTGGAATCGTTCGAAAATTGGCTGAAGACAAAAAATGAACTGGGTCCAATGAGTGAAGTGGAGCAAGGTGAATGTTTGGGAACGCCCATATCACTGAACTTTCTGTAATCTCCTCGAGCTTTTCTTTTCTTGGACACCTTAAATTGCTGGTTTCTAGAACTTCACAATGCTCATCAAGAACGTGCAGCTGTTGCTCATGCAGGACCGCAGCATATGAAGGGTGTTGCTTTTCCACTTGATCGAAATGCTGAAGACGCCGTTAAGAAGCTTGCAAAGGGTCAACTGGCCCTTGTTCAGTTATCGGTTGGATCTTTTCTGTATCATGAACTCTTACTTATTCTTTGTCTATTATGCAGAATATGCAATCATACCCTTTGCAAGCTGTACAATTCATGGCCCTCTTTGTCCTTGTTCCTCTTCTCACTGCTCGAATTTTCTAAAAAAAATTTTCAGGCTTGTTAACTTTACTTCAAATTCGGATTATGCTGTAAGCTACCTATTATAGGTAGATACATTGAATGAAGCCATAAAATTAGAAGCAACTGAGGAAAATCTGCCAGCACATAAACTAGCAAGCAGAATTCCTCGAGACAAACCACGGTATACTTTCTTCCGATTTCAACACGATAGTGACGGATTCCCGAAGTCATCAACTTGTAAGTAGAACATGTGTTCATTACTTGTTTTTTCATTTATTTCTATAATATGTATAGATGGGTGTGTGGAAAACAATCATTTGCTTTGATGGAAACGAGAAGTCGTTAGGAAAGGATTTAGCACCCTGAAATTACCGTTTGATATGTAATCTTTCATCGTTTCCCTCATTTTTATCTTTTTTTTTTGTCCTTCACTGACATCTTTGATAACCGCTATCGTCGATGCAGACTCTCTTGTAATCGTTGGTGGTCACTGGGCCAGCATCCGGGATAAGCGAACCTGGAAAGCAAGGAAATCGATAGAATCTCGTATATAATCGAATGATGTTATGAACTTGGTAGTTCAGGGTTAGGAGTGGGCCAAAATTCCTGGAGAGCGCTGAAATCCACAGTAAATTAATGAACCGGCCACGTTTTCTACATTGAGCAAATCAGGTTGCGGTTACTGTTGTTTGAAGTTGGCTCGGTTGATTACTGCTGAATGAAACGGAATTCTTCTGGAATGTGATGTAGTGTCTTTTATTCTTTCCAGAAAAACTTTTAGTCGTCCTTTTATGGCTATCATAATGGTGTCGTTTTCGATTTATCGACTGGTACAATGTCGAGAATGGGCGCATTTAGAAAGTTTATTGAATTGTTTATGATGTTGAAACGAATTTCTGCTAATTTCACAATGCAATTTGTGTTACTACCCTAAAACTGTTCATTAAATGCTGAAAATAAATAAAAATTAAATCCTCTCATTCAGATGGGAAATGCTGTTGAGGTCTTTAAAATATTCGCATTTCACTTTTTTTGCCTTTTATTTAGAGTTGACGTCATTAATTCAATGGTTTTATTTTCAGTTTTCATTTATTCGTTGCCATCATCGGGTAGCTCAATCAAGGAACGCATGTTGTACTCAAGTTGCAAGTCTCCATTTTTAGAAACTGCTACAAAACAGTTAGGAATAGAATTAAGTAAAAAGGTATAAGTTAGTCGGTCAATATTGAACCATTTTCCTTTCCAATTTCTTTTTTTTTTTTTTTTTTGTTGCGATGGCAGCTTACCAGATTGTTCTGACAAATATCGGTTGTGAAATATGTAATGCTTCCATCTTTCAGATGGAAGTAGATTCTAAAGACGATCTTTCGGAGTCAGCTCTTTTGGAGTCACTGCATCCAGTAGAACACGAAAGCCCGAAGATGTTCGCTCGTCCAGCTCTTCCGAAAGGAGCAGGTCCACGTCGAATTACGAAAGTCTAATAATTTGAACACTGCTCGTACTCGCTTACTCGTTAGCTTGTGCTTACTTATCACCTCTCTACCTTTTCTCAGCTCCTATTTTTTTTATACAGCGGCTATGTATAAAGACTGCCACGACGTGTTCAAATGCAAGTCAGTATAATTACTGGCTTATTAAATTACAAATTACTCATAAATTGCGCTTAATATGTGTTTGTTTAGAAAGTATTTAGTTCAACTCTTAAGTTCCAAAGTTTGTATTACTTTTGAAGTTAAATCGAAGCTATTAATAATATAAAAATGATTGCATATTGTGTTTCTTTGTTGTTTGATTGAAGGACTCCAGCGTTGAAACGAACCCGCTTGGATATTGCTTGACTTCAAAAACATTGTCGAGTTTTCCAAAGTCCTGGTATGGGGCTATTTCGATAAAAAGAACGCTGTCAGAATGTTGTTTACATAGCGGAAAAGATAAAGGTAGCCTTGAATGGAGGTCATCTGATGGTGGATCGTCCATCCAAGCCTGTTATTACAAACTATGGCGTAATGATAGGTCATGATGAGGGTCAGGTGAACGGATAAAGAGTGTCTTTTGTGATTGTGATTTTCCACTCAGTCCTGAGGTCTTTAAATTACGCCTACAGAGGTACGCTGCTCTGCTCCTATGGCCTGTGAGGGAAGTACTTTTGAGGGAGAAGGTTTAGTTTGGTGTGTAAGACGAAACATTGTACCAGGTCTCGACGGTTATCAAGGGTCGTCTACGAATGGGAGGGTCGAGTGGTATCGCCCTTCGACTGTCAAAGAGTTTGAAAAGAGTTCATTTTGATAGCAATCTTTATGGCAAGCATTATTCAAGTACAGGGAAAGGGGTAATGGTTCCTCCTATGGTCTTCTTATTCGAGTGGGAGGAGGAAGGAAGGTGGAAGTAGTTGTTGTGGTTATTCTGATAATAAAATTATGTATTTATGAGTAATAAAGTTAACAGGTACGAGGCATCATCTTGAATGGCCGTCGTTGAATTCGTTACCTACCCTACTTCGTTCTTGAACCGTTGTTGTAATCAAGTTGGAAGGTTCAGTCCACCGTTGCCGCTTTCGATAATAAGTTTCTGTCTTACGATCCATTATATAGAGTCTCGGCTGGAATAAGCGCTCCTTCCACCACTAGTTGAACTCCATGAAGCTACTTTGTGAAAAGGTCTCGTAGTACTGCTCAACTGATTCGAAGAATGAAGTAGTTGCGGAAAATGTTGTAGAACTTGGGATTAAAGAGTTTCTTCTGAAGTAATGAGTATGATTTGGTGGTGCCTCTATGGTAAATGATCAATGATGATCAATCCGTGTAAATTAGAGTGCAGAAAGGCATGAATCAGATAATGAACGGGCAATTTTGAATGAACGACCGACATCATGAGCATATGTTTAATGAAGTCGTATCATAGTTTCCGGTCATAGAATGTCTCATGCTTCGATTTCCGTATTGATCGTGACATGACGCCGGTTTTTTATTGGTTAACCTATCTGGGATTCCTAATTATACAGATGTATCTTCACGAAATTCAACCTGCGCCTGGGCTTTTTGGTAACATCAGCTCTCTCACAACAAGTGAAAGCATACCCGAAATAGGTAAGTTTTGAAAACTACTTTTTCTAAATAAATGTAAAGGCTCCCTTCAAAGGAAGTCAGTAGGGTAGAGAGAGAACACGATTAGCGTACAGTTTTCAGACTGATTTCCTATACTTTGTGGTCAGCTGCTCTCAATCGATTATTATGCTATGCAAGGTCCATCTGTTATGGCGACGAACAGGCGCTGGCCGACTTGCGGCAACACCGATGGTGGGAAACAGATGTGCTAGCCTCGATCGAATGGCAACCAAAGCGTTTTTCTTTCGCTGTTCATCGAAGTTCCACCAAACCTCACACATCACTTCTTTCGACTTCCGTAGCGTCGTCGGTGCATCTGGAGGCAATCCATCTGGCAAACAGCAGTGCGCATTGCAGTAAGCACCGAAATCGACCTTGTCGTTATCATAAGCGGTCAGTATTGTCCGAGTATCAATGTGCCCAGACCGCTCTCACTGACCTCCTGTACGTCATGCTGCTTACCTGGCTAGCTGTCCTTTGCACACTTCCACAAGGTGCCTATTTTTCGTACAATATCAACTCCAGTCATCCTCCGTCCAGTACCGTACACCATGTCAAGTTCTCACTTCCATCGAACGGCAGTGGTACGCGATCATTTCGTACCCTGGAGAGACTGCTGAAATTCGGTAATTACACGATCATACGCACTTCTCCTTCTGCTGTCAACAAATCCCCTGTCGGAGGTGTCGTGTTTCGACGTTACTTCAATGATCCTATTTCTGCGAAGACGAAAAGGGCTGCGACAGCACGAAAGGAACGGATTTGGCCGAATGGTGTTATTCCGTATGTAATAGCTTCGAATTTTTCTGGTGAGATTTTTTTCTGTTGGCTTCGATTTATTATTGATATAGTTTTCTTTCGCAAAAGACCTTTTTGATAAGAGAGGCTATTTTTCATACTTAAATAGAGAGTTTCTTTTGCGTCAGATAATATGCGTCCACCAAGTACCGATTGCGCAAGGATAATGCCTAAATTCACTCTCCTTCCAAAATAGGTGCTCAGGGTTGAAGCTCTAAGACTTTTTCGATCGCTCCATTTTGGTTTCTTCGAATTAGCAAAGATAACACTTCTGAAGAGTGCTGTAGATCAATTAGATATAATGAGATAGGACTCATAAGGCGTTAAAAAACTACTAAGGATACGACTGTAATTCTGAATTCTTATCTACTTTTCTTGCAGGTGAGCATAAGAACTTGTTCCAGAGGGCAATGCGACATTGGGAGAATCATACTTGCGTTTCGTTTGTACCTAGACAGGAACATCATAAGCACTACATAATGTTCACCATCGACAAGTGTGGGTACGTTCTATAACTTTTTTTTCATGCGTTAGTTAATGTTCCAACCATTATTATGCTGGCAAGCAAAAGCACTGGCTTGTGTGCCTGAGGGCGCGGAGCTATTTTACTTTCATCTACCATTTCTGAAAACAAAAGTTCTTGTGCTCACTAATGCTTATGGAAAACCACAACTTTACGTTCTCTATTGGTTATTTCCAGCTGTTGCTCCTACGTTGGGCGTCGTGGTGACGGCCCTCAAGCGATATCCATAGGAAAAAATTGCGACAAATTTGGTATCGTTGTTCATGAGCTTGGCCATGTTGTTGGATTTTGGCATGAGCATACTAGACCAGATCGTGATGATTATGTCGATATCTTCTACAAGAGTATCCAACCAGGTAAGCCTACAACCAGCACTTATCTCAACAATCTTTTTCGACTATAAGGCGAAAAATTATCTTGAGTTTCAATCTTGAGCACGAAATAGGTTTGTGAAGGAATTTTTGTCAATTCGGCGGCTCCCCAGTATCTTCAGTTGAAGTGCAGTTTTAGTTTTTGGAGACAGATGTCTAAATAATCTGGAATGGGTCGTAATTAAGATAGTCGAGCTCCTCAGTGAATATTACGCTGTACTGTAGTCAAACGTAGGCAGTTGCTTCTCTCTACGTGTCGGAACTTCTTTTCCCTCACATAGTCACATGTAAAGAATTTTGTCAAATTAAGTTAATTAGAGCTTTCTTTGTTTAAATTAGTTTCACATATTTTATGCATAGGGCAGGATTACAACTTCGAAAAATCAAAACCGGAAGAGGTGGATTCGCTGGGAGAACCGTATGACTTCGATTCTATAATGCATTATGCTCGTGATACATTCTCACGTGGTACCTTCCATGACACAATATTGCCCAAACCAAGCTCAGGTAAGCTTTCGTACGTATAGTTATAGCAAATGATTAGCATATAATTTGAGGGCTACCTCACTTGATTTGCTCGTTTAGGTTTTCGATCTGAAATTGGGCAACGTATTCAGTTGAGCGAAGGCGATATCCGTCAAGCGAAAAAGCTCTACAAATGCCCAGGTGCAAACTACTATTGTAATCTTCGGATTAATCTGAGTATCTCTTAAATTAAAGGCTATTTTTAAGCATGTGGAAGCACACTTCTATCAGAAACAGCTGAGCTGATTCCCTCTACCGCTGGAAAGTGTGTGTGGCGTATTGTAGCGGCAGAAGGACAAACGATTTTCCTCAACTTGACAGGTCTGTTTCCTTCGAAAAATCCTAAAGTTTTTTTTTATAACATTTTGTATCACCAGTAAATAATGATCACACCTAGTATAGCAGAAGTGTTTTTGAAAGTTTGTGTTATAGTACGGAATTTCAGGATCTTTCTTGCTTCCTCCTTCGACTACCTGTATTGAAGAGAAGGAGAATGCGATAGTAGTCAAAGACGGTTATATGATCAAAGCACCAGTTTTAGGCATGTTTAGCATATTAATTTAATAAGTTCCTTTTTAAAAATTGCATCAAAATATTTAGATAAGATTTGTGGCGACGAGACTGGCTATAGGACCGTTGTATCTACCGGTAGTAGGCTTTATGTTGAACTTCATACTACACTATTACCAGTTTTCCCTATTGGAAAGTATAATTCTGTCTGTGGTGGACCTATTTTCGCTGACAGTGGGGTGATTCAGGTATGAAATTCCAATCAAATAACATGCTCTTTTACAAAAACAGTTCATCAGATGATTGTCAAAATGGGTAGCCATTACTGATTCATCTTTTCTCTAACAACTTATCATTCATATCAATATTTTTCCAGAGCCCAAGGTATCCCGAATCGTATCCACCCAACGCTGATTGTTTTTGGACGGTGCACGTTTCTGAGGGCTACCAGGTCGCTGTAGACATTACATATTTTCATGTAAGTTTACAGTGATAGTGCTTGTTCTATCTAGAGCAGGAGTTCCACTTTAAGGGAGTGGAAGGCAACTCGTGCTTGAAGTTTGTTGCGCTGCTTTTAAATTATACCTTTTACAATGCTGCTATTTCAGCTTGAGCAGCACAAAGACTGCATTTATGATCGAGTCGTTTTCTGGGAAAGCTCGGAGAGTGGAGCCCCACTCGCTACACTGTGTGGTGTGGTTACTGATAGACAAATTGTTACGAGGAGGAGCAACCAGATGGTAATCAGGTAATGTAGCTCTCACTACCGTCAATTATTCTGTGCTTGGATCGACTGATTCAGGTTGATTTCGGATAACTCTGTTCAAAAATCGGGTTTTGAATTGTCGTTCGTCCGTGAATTGGACGAATGTGCCATGGGAACGAAACTCTGTGAACAGCGTTGCGTCAACACCGTTGGTAGTTATAGATGCGACTGCCACGTCGGTTATAGTCTTCGTCCAGACGGGAAAACATGCGAAAGTAAGTTGCTAGTAGATTATCTGTCCTAGTTATTGATGAGTCAATGTTTTTTGGAGATTTTGTATTTGCTCTGTTGCAGCTCTGCAGCTCGCATCTTTTCCTTTCATTTCGCTGTCTTGTCATATTCCCTATGACGCAGTTGTTGATAAAGTATGCGACATAAATCGCCTGAAGACCCATAATTACGTCCTATTATGAAGTTTTCATGTCAAAGAGTTACCATTATAGGGCTTTGAAATTGCCATCCAAAATCGTCGTACGAAAAGACCCTTCTGTCTTTAGAGTGAATCATGCTGTTTTTTTCAACTTTTGGTTTGCAGGTACATGTGGAGGATTCCTTAGAGCGTCTCATGGCTCCTTTGCATCTCCCAATTTCCCACGACATTACCCTTCTTCAAAGAACTGTGTATGGGAGATCGAAGCAGATGCTGGATATCAGATATTCCTGAATTTTACCACCTTCAACATTGAGGTCTGAAACTCATGGTTTGTTTCCTTAATCCATACTATGGAATGTCGTTACAGGGAATGAAAACGGAATGTGCTTACGATTATGTGAAAATCGGTGAAAGCGAGAAACTTTGCGGAGAATACAGTAAGAATAATTTGTTAACATTTTTTGAATAAGAATAGTTTGTTATTGTTTTGATTTTTTCTACATTTATTGTTTTACAGCTGAACCACTGTTATTCACATCGCCTTCAAATCGTGTAAGGGTGGAGTTTGTGTCTGATTCTTCAGTTGAGCGGGCTGGTTTCTCCGCTCATTTCATAGCGGATTTGGATGAGTGCCAAGAAGACAATGCTGGTTGTGAACATATCTGTCAGAATAGGCTGGGTAAGTTGCTTATGCTTTTGTGGGTGGAGGTGCTTGAAGATCGTTGACGAAGTTATTGCCGATTTTTCATTGAAGGGTCGTATCTGTGCCTTTGCCATGCTGGATATGTTCTTGCTGAGGATGGTCATAATTGTAAAGAAGGAGGATGTTTCTTCGAATTGAATTCACCGAGCGGTAAGAAACAGTTTCTTGTCAGATATGTCGACTTATCTTCATCAGTACAAAACTATAAACTGAAAAATACTTTGCATTAATCACTTATTTTTTTCATTTATTTACTATTTGTACTTTAAGTGCACTCTGTGTTAGTAAAAACATGTTTATCTAGATTCTTAGAATTCATGACAGATGCACTTTCAGGTGTTATCACTACACCAAACTACCCCGGTGACTATCCGAAAAGTCAGAATTGCACATGGCACTTTGTTACCACTCCCGGACACCGACTCATGCTTGTTAGTAGACGTACTTTTGATTCTCAGAAATGTTTTCGATTAGAATTTTATTTCTATTTCGTCCACCAATCTATTCAGTAAACATTGAACGACTCGAGCTGCAAGTCATTAACGTCTGCCGCTCGCAGGCTGTATACTTTGCAAACATATTACAAAGATTTTATAGACGTTTTTGTCATTTCAAGTGGAGGAGCATTCTCAGTGCAAATACGATTCGGCATCGATTTATGATGGTGGTGATACCAATGCTGTACTTGTCGGTAAGGTTTGCTTTTGCTTCGTTAATTCAGGTTCTCTGTTCCTTTTTGCAAGGAGAAACTTCCAGTATCCGCTAGGAATGTGTACTTGTAACAGCATCAACTTTTAATCCTAGGTATTTTCTGCGGAGTGGTTCCACCTCCATTGTACATGTCGTCCACGAATCAACTATTCCTCACTTTCGTTTCGGATGCATCAGTATCACGTCCTGGATTTGAGGCCAACTACGCTTCAGTTTGTGGTGGCCGGTTGACAGCCGAATCTTCTCCAGGTCATATTTACTCGCACGCCACATTTAGTGACAGCAAATATGGAAAAAGTCAGGTCAGTGCCCTACTTTCTACCCTCTTTGTTTTGAATCTTCGGTGTATAATAGTTCGGGTTCTGATGGTGTGTACGTAATACTAGATGTTGATGCAACATATCCATCTAGGATTGTTGGTGGAGAGTATCAGCAAAATCACGACATCGAGGTGTGCGACTTGAATTCAGTACATTTACTTTGGAAGCTGAGGAAACTTGTCAGTATGATTATGTAGAGGTAAGTACCCTTGCTTCATGTAGGGAACTTTAGCATCTGCATTGTTGGAGGTGCACACCGTACTGGTGAGAGACTTCCTAGGTGAGGAGGCCTTCGGCAGCGTCAACTATTGAGCGTGGGGTACGCTGAAGTCGGAGTGGGGCAGCGTATACTAATGAGCGTGGGGTACGCTGAAGCAGGAAAGCAAATTGTTTGAAACACACTATACAGCAACGTGTGGGTGGAGACAATGGGTATCATTTTGTAGTTTTTTTTTTACCATGCTGATAAATTTGCTTACATTGCCCAGATCTCGTTTTGGATGGAACTGTACTCTGCTCTGAATTCGATTTTCTCGGGTTATGATAACCTCGGAATTATTCAGATATATGATGGTCTTGAACCAGCTCAACATCGATTATTCGGAAGATTTTGTGGGGATCAAATACCGGATACTATAACAAGTACAGGTACATGGAAGTTTCATATTGATTAAAGAGTAAATACTGGTTTGTAACATGTACTTCTGCCACGCTCCCTGTCCAGCGATAGCACACTAAATCACTTATGCCAAAAAAGCGTGTCGACCGTTTGCTTCAGTTTTCAGAAAAGATAAAAATTGTTGGCTTATACATTTTGCTAGCAGCTACATCACTGTACAGACCAGACCCGTGTTCAAATGTTCCTACAATGCTTTACGACCTCACTGGCTATTGACAACCCCTGAGGAAAAGGCCATCCTGCCATCCTGTTTCTACAACTCTGCGAACTGATTTTTCGATAAAAGCAAGCTGCCTCTGCTACAATCTGAATAACTGAGAGCTTTCGGATTGAGTGGTGACGGCACTTTTGAGATAGTCATATTCTAGGTCCTGATATACTGCTGATTCTACATACGGACGATTCCGAAGAGGAGAAAGGTTTCGTTGCCGTATATCGCGAAGCACCACGTGGCCGTATGCAACCGAAAGCTCAAATGCCACGGCCTTCCCCGAATAAGGAACCTATTAGCTAATATCATAGCCTTTACGTGCAAGCTTTAACCTAAATAGAAGCTCAAGGATTGGTTTTTTTGGCAGCAAACCGTAGTTGTTTTCAGTTTTTGTTTACTGTAGAGATTTTAGGTCAACTAAATTCAAATTATGAATCGCTGCTTTAGGTTTTATTGGATTCGCATATCATATTGTAGGTGCGTATTAACGCTATTCGCTTATATCTGACCACCGTTCCATTTTTATTCGCATTGGTGAAAACAGTATGTGGGCTCGTTACCGTATCTTAAGTGCTCAATTACAGTGATGACAGATGACTGTTGTCAAAATATGACTCGAATAATTCCCAGAGAGAAACGTTTTATTCATTTGTTCGCCGACCCCACCGCCCATCGAATCGCTTTAGGTTCGGAACCTTTTTTTTCAGCCGAATTTGTTCTCTATTTTGCGCTTCTCCTGATCAGTTTTCTTCTGAAATGCCTCCCATTCATGACGTAGCGTCGTAATTTTGTTCCAATCAGCTCATACTGTTTCCACAAAATTACAGTTTTACTTTTGCCGAGTTCATGTTTCGTGATGATTCCAATTTTTTTGACGAGATGTTTATTCTGAGATATCATATGTATTGACATGAATTCGAGCATGGTATTCTATTTATTGTTTCATGTATTTGCTAATAAACATCTTCTGGTTCTTCAGCAACCCATGTTACCAATCGTAATCGCTATTGATCGTAACATATCGACTCCATATTGCATTTCAAATAGATTGTCACAACTTCAATTTGGTACTGTTTTTAGATTGAGATAAGTTTTCAGCTCGTTTTGATGCCAGCGGATCCCATCACTAATGGTAGTTCATCGTCTTTGAAAAGATGGATGGCCGACTTACCAGCTACACTCACATCTAAACCTTTACATTTACTAAAAATTCCTGGTAAGTCACGAAAATTCCCTCTTATAATTTCAGCGTTTGAAGCAGTGTATAGGGAGGCTCCCTTGTAGCCAAGTTAGTGGTATCGGCAGAAAGTTTTTCGAGAGAGATGAGCCTAAATTTGAACAACTCCGGGTTGAATTCGAGGACCTTTCTGTCTATTAAAGTAGACCAAATATGTAGAATCATTGATTGACACTTGCTGAAGGTAACCTTATTCTGTCGCTTATGTTTTGTGCTGCAGCTCGGTGTCTCCAAAAATGATTTAGTATCTTACGTCCTGCACGCTTAGAAAACCCAGATTGCCTAGTTTTGGTTTGAAATGGTCGACACCTTTGATGCTCAGGCATCCTTGGTTTCCATTTTTCCTTGTGTCTTTACTTTTTAATTAAAGACGTAGTAATCAGAAATCGGAGTCACCATTCAACCGTACCACACTCTCAATTTTTAGGCTCGCATGATTCGGGAGCAACTGCAGAACTCGATCCAAAACTTCCTGTAGCAATCGACTTGTCAGATAACATTCGTCGTTTTGCAAAACCAACATGTATCAAAATGGGCATCAAACGATGGGCTGTTTCACAACGGTTCAGTTCTTTTTGATATTTCATTGATTATTTAGCTAGTTTATGATTTTTGGATGAGCTATATAGGATAGGACACCCTTCGTAAATGCTCTGAAGGCGAAATACGGTATGCTCCTTATAAGTAGGTGGGAACGTCTCATATTTACAGCTGCTCGATTCGTGAACAGCTTGAACACGGGGTCCGTTACCTCGATTTACGTATCGCTCATCCGCCACCAGAAGTACGAAGCAGCGAAAAGGCGAGTGCTTTCGAATCCTTATATTATTCATAACTATTCCGAAGGAAATGAATATTTCTTACTTGAGCCAAGGAGTCTGGTGTGGGATGCATCACATAACACTTATTTTTTTCTTCTCTGCGATTCTCAAATCACATAGGAGGTGTAGGAGGTGAAATTATAATAGTATTGGAGAAAACGCATCTCACGGTAGTTATATCCATGAAGCGTGAAGTTTGTCAGCGTAGAGCTTTTGGGAAGCATCGCACGCTCACAAATGTAAAAACAGAAATATAGTTTTACATGATGGAGCACAAAGAACGTTGCGATCAGAATTGTCTGTTTGAGCTTGTACTCTAGTCGAACCTAAGCTGGAAAATTTCAGGATTTCCGTATAGTTCACGGGTTGTATGGCATCACGTTACGAGATTGTCTAAAACAAGTCGCAGATTTTTTGAACGAAAACGACAAGGAAGTAAGTGAAGCCGAGTTGAATACGTTTGGTGTTAGCGAATGATAGAATTGTTTTTGTGTTAATCCGAAAAAAAAANAAAAAAAACTAGAAACTGGAAACTAAAATCCAAAAATGCTGTGTTGTGTTGTTTTGTAGAATGAATCGTCTAACTGATTTCCAAGAGCAACCGTAATGACCTCTGATTACCTTCACCTCATTCTGACAGTTGTGCCTGTAGGAATCGATCGATTTCTCATAGTCCAAGAATTCAGTTAATTCAGTAGATACCTCTCTCTATTGTACAGTCAATTCTTCCATATTGCGACCTTACTGGTTTGCTAGCGCTTCCTATGACAAGCGCTAACTGTAGGCATTTCAGAGACAGGTGAGCTCGATTGAAAGCCGGGGGATTGTCGAATAAAACGGGGTTTTCCCCTGTCGCTTGTTATTTCATGGCCAGGAGGTTCAATAAAAATACCGAAGTGGGAAGAGTAACGGTGAAACCGCCTTGTGATCATCTTCCTCGCTTTCCCAATAGTTTTGGTGCTTTGAGAAGCTGTATACGATCGGTTGCACCGTACCCTCAGTGCCTGTTTGAAGTCCCCTAACGTCGAGTCATATGCAGCTTTTCAGGTTATACTATTCGATATGAATCATGTGTATAACATTAACATAGCGGAATTCACAATTATACGACAAGAAATATTAGAAGCGTTTGGAAAATCCTGGTTATGCCCTTATACTGAAGATATCAATACAGTTACCCTAGATTACATGTGGAAGTCAGGTTACAGGTGAGACGTCCCAAATATTGTTTTTTATTCCCACGTTTCAAGGTTGTCCTTTTTTATTCATTATTTTGGAACCTCGAGCAGAATTCCTCCTAATAATAGTATTGTTTTTGTTTCCAGAGCAATTGTTTTTTGCACATTCAAATCATCGGATCCGACTGGGTTTCTATGTTGGCCCTGGACTACAATATCGTCACCATGGCCGAATACTAGTAATATTAATACTCTGATACAAAACCTCAAGAACGGTTTGGAATCACGTCCAATGTCGAAGAGTGAGAAGGAGCCACTTCGATTCTTCGTGTCTCAAGGAGTTATTACACCACAGGACTCGGACGTGGTGGGTTATTGAGGTCGCTTCCATATTGTACAGTTTTTCTGTAATAGAATGAAGTGATCGACTGTCATCAATTATTTTTGGTGTGTTATGTGTTCAACTTTTATCCCAGAAAACTCAAAAGCACAGTTTACAATAGTTTTGGGGTAACTAGTTTAAGACGAGTAATGGGATGGTAGTCCAGAATAATGCAGAAGTAGGCGAAGAAAACGCGAAAATCTCCGGGTTAAGTGAAGGCTTTGAAAAGAAGTGAAATTTGGGGAAGGTTTAAACGAGAATATGACATCAGAAGCTGCATGGGAGGGGTGCTTGGACGAGCTGTTCGAATGTGCCCGCCATTCCACACAGCTGGGTATAGTAAGGCTGTCTCTGTGCAACATATGCAATCCGGTGCGAATGATGCAACCGGTACAACCTCTACAACGCAGTGAAAGACTCATTCGCCTTTGGGTGTGTACTTCGGCTAAGCTGTTTTTTAGGTCCTTCTTACGCCTTCTAGGCAGTTTCCCACCCACTAGCGTCTCTAGTACTATCCTCGGATGTCACCGGTTGCTCCTGGAAAAAGGATTCTCAAACACCCTTTTATAGTGAACTGTGCCTCTATCCTTTCGCTTTTGTAAACATCAGAGGTGTGAATCTAGGACCTCCTTGAGAAAGTTATGAGTTATCTTTGATTATACCTTTGAACATCGGGCTTTACTCTTGAAAACTTCGTAAGAGAAAGTCATCAAATGTGTTTCAGTCGTTTTTTAGAAACTCACTCTATATTGTGTATTTAGATTCTGCGATGGTTTTCATCACTCCAAGAGTTTTCGAAGGATGTTACTCCTACAGTACTTCAGTGGATGAGCGAGCTTTCCGAGGAAATCAAACAAAAAATCAATATTGTCCTCCTAGACTATATCGACGATCATACATCTAATTTCATTATATCACTTAACAAAGCCCAAAACTCCGAAATCTGAAAATGAAGCTAAAGAGGACCGGCGGTGACCAGCCGGAATCGTCTAAGCCGGTCCAGGTGGCAGAGAGTCACCCAGAAGAAAAATCATAGAGCTAGCTACCTGGACCGGGTCAGGGGTTACAATGGGCTTTGTGTCATAGAAACTTTATTGAATATTTTATACTTTTGTAATAGTCATCTGCCGCTCATTTGCTTTGTCATTTTGTAGAATTATAGTCAATTCATGAGGGGAATGCCAAAGGTCGTTACTGGTTAAAGCAGATCACTTACCACTTTTACTTAGTCATAACTAGATCTCGAAACTTAAAACTTTGATACGCCCGATTTGATCTAGTCTATCTTTCCTATTATATCTCTTTTTTTCTCCTGCTTACTGTGATCACTGTGATAAAGGCATAAATAAATAATATACACGAATTTTGAGATGGTATTTACATCGCTTGTTAGTTTTTTGGGATACGCCGTGCAGCTGTTTCCCCCTCGGAATCGTGGCGTTGCTTCGATCTTATTCCGCTCCTACTTCGTAATTCCGGGCAGGCCAGAAAAGTAGAAGTCAGTGTTTTAATCATTTTTGAAAGTGAAGGAGCAGTAAATTGACACTGGGAAGGCTTGTTGGAGGCTACGGCAATTCTGTTTATTTACTTATTTGTTTGTTAAATACATGTATGGGAAATAATACGAGACCCCTCCTGTGTAGCTTGGGTTAAATCAGCCAAAAACCTGGAAAACTAATCTGAAGTCGGGAAGGTAGGGGGTAAGAGTGATTGTCAAACCATTTGGCTGAAAGTGCTTAATAGGTCCAGCTGTAATGTAGGCACAGGAACAGCCGCATAAATCATTTGGGTATAACCCATTACTCATTGCGTCTCAGACAACAAGTTCGGTACAATTAAATGCAATGTAGAGCAGTTGGAGGAGAATAAGTTATCGAGTGGCCTTTTTTCTTTGTTGGTACTGATTGACTATTCATAGAACTCAGTTCCTCTTCCATTTTTCTCTATAGCTGTAGGGTTAATCTGAAGGCTTCGCGTAATTGTATTCTATGGAAAAAATGGTTTACTTTGCCTTTACTCGTTTTATTCGATCACAAGCAGTTACCTTCAGGTTGTGGTTTAATCCATGAATCAAATTGAAAGGTGAGTAAGGAGGTGGCGATCTCTGGTAGGGGACGGTTGCCGAATGATTATGGTAACCCGTAACTGAATCACCGTATATGTAAGAATTAAATGCTGATGGGTGCTAGCACTTCCAACAATCTCCCAACCTTCGAGAACTGTTCGTAGATTAGAGCTTATGACTCATACAAAATATTCATTAGTACTACCCAATCATGTTTTCAAAATGCGCCATGCATTCGACTTCATTTAGAATCGTAATAGCGTATTTGGCCTGTACAATTAATTGTGGTAGCCAGCCGATGTACAAGTCAGTGCTTATCCTTTAATAGACGGGCCGCAAACCGATCCCAGAAGGATGGAAACCCCGGTTGGCGTGGAGGATAACGATACGAGATCCGATCTCCGGGCCATACATGTGTGATGGCGCGCCACTACCTGGTAGATTACTTATGCCCGCACCTAAAATGGTCCAATTTCCCCTGAGCTTTCCATCGGCGAATTTTCGAACACTTTTCTATCCAAATAAAAGTTGGAGCAGGCCATGGAAACCAGCTGGTCGTGGAGCATTGCGCGTGTCATTTCGAACACTCTGTGCCGCTGCACAAACTACAAGTGAACGCACGCCTAAATCATTAACTGCCACACACATCAGCAAAAAATAGCCAGCCGTTTTAGATGTGTTTCCTCCTCCGTTCTTTATGATTTTCTTATATTTTCTTGTCACCCAGATTCGCTTGTTTCCTTTCCTTCAGTTTCATGGAGCCATTGTCTAGCGCGGTTTGAGGGTTTTCCATGTTCAAACAAAATTTTTCGAGGGCAACAGGAAGTTGTTCATTTGATGGAAGTTTTCTTAGTTTTCGACCTTCACTTACATGGAATGTCGGCTAGAATGATGTAGCTGGAGCTTTTTCTCCATTATAGCATAACGTTGTTGAAAAAGAAAAATTTATGTTAATCAATTGAGCATCGTGAGTAAATGCTTACGTGCAATATTCCTTGAAAATCTATTTCAAAAATAATCTCTACTTTGCAACTTTGATTTGTAATACATCATACTGTTGGCAGTAGTTGTTCCAGCACTTCTTATTGTATTTCCCATTCAAGTTGCGATATTAAAAACCATTGCTTCAAAACCTTTCCTCGTACCGCATACAAAGCCACCTGCTGGGTATCTTCCTAACCAAGACAAAGCCCTAATTGTTTCAGGATAGTTCGTGTTTGGAACAATTTCTGTAGCGCAGCATTCATTTTCAAAACATTTTTGTAAGTTGTAACCGCCGTGATAGGCTTCCTCTTTTCCACCTCGTTCTTTCATAATGCCAATTATACCAGTGGTCGTGGTACTCTCACGAAATGTCCGAGGTTTTTTTTTCTCTTCCGTCTCAATCTACATATATGTTGGATTTAGGTAAACAATCATAATTGCGGAAGAGATGAATTCAGATAGTCTACCAAACCATAACGCAGTAGAGACATGTAAGTTCCTTTCAGTTACAGCAATATTATTCAAGTGCAGTAGGTTCGGTTGTGTCCTAAATTTATTAACCTCTTCCTCCCTCGATGCTGGTGGTTTGCTTAATTGTACACACACCTGATTGACCTAATTATGGTTATCAATCAAACAAATATTGCGAAATATGGTAAAACTTGACCATAGAACATCGCGATCTAAAAATAGCGAAATGTCTATTGAGCAAATATCTATCAACCATCGCATGAACGAACACGAATAAGGCTAAAAATGATTCTCTTAGTTACATTCTCATGGTGTGGGAATGCTCTGCGGTCTTCCATACTTCCATGAGTTTTAGATTAGTCTTTCAATGGTCCAGATCAACGCTACCCATCTTATTAAATACTTCTCGCGAGAAAAAAAAAACAAAAACTGTGCTGCTGAAATTTTGCCCTCTAAGCGATTGGGCTCTTCTGATTGCGATTATGTCATTTATTTTTGATTCATTCGTTGTATCGATTCTTCATGTGGTTACCAAAAAAGGTACTTATAATCAATGTAGGATTGGTGCAGCGAGTAACTTGTATAATGTAGGTTTTATTCTTCTGCTAAAGCGCATTGGCACTCAGAGTATGTGCCATGTTTTCCTTCAGCCTCAGCTACATACATTCGTGGGACCAAGGAAATCTCTCTCTTCGAACTACCTGTCTCGTAATGTAAATGGTACTTTAAATCATATTGGTTTTTTTTTGCTGCCACGGGAGCGTAAAATGAAGAGTGCCATCGGTTGCTGTGTAGAAGGGAATTGTTCGAAGAAGTGTTTAGACTCTCAATGCAAACGAAAAATTTTTCCTTGGTGGTAGTCGGGCGGTTCTTTCGGCAGAGATTTGACGGCGGCGTTTCACTCGCTGTGTTTGTTAGAATTTGTGTTCATGTTCGATTTGATTCGTTAGAGGTTCAACTTCTCAACGTTTTGTTTTTGCTTGCCATTGGAGTAAATTAACCTCCCAATTCCGTGTAAGTGTTGAGTTCCATTTTCACCTATTTTTTTAGCCCTTGCTTAGCGGACATTAGTACTTTTGATCAAATCGATCCAATCTGGCCATTTCCGGTCAGCAGATTTATACCATTCAGTTTTAATGGATTGCGCAGTGTGTCGTACATTATCTTTGTGTGCCCCATCATATTAGAGTAGTTTCCAAGCGAATTGCTTTTTCTCCACAGCGAATTGCCATAGACCACGTCGACATGATTTTTGGTCACCTAAAAATATGGGGCCTCTAAACCCTTTTCATGTATGGCTAAGAACCTTGGGAAATGTGCCGTAAAGACTTAAATTGCCATAAAAGTCCTTTTGATGGAGCATTCATGGAATTAGTTCCAATGTTATCATACGTGTTTTATGTAATGTACGATCGTTGCGGGGCTTTGAAACATCTGAACTAACTAGCTGAAATGCAATTATTATGTTCACAGCACAGCGGACAGCTGTTCAGTGCATATAGCCGTTTCCACGATTTATGTCATCCCAGAATCTATAGCAGTGGGGGAAGCGGAGAGGATGGAGGGACCCTCGCGGAAAATTATTACCATCTTTTCATCCAATGGGGTATAAAGAAAGCCATTAGGCCATTACCCGAAGATTTCTCATGCTTTACAGCAATATCGTCAATTGCATCGTGCTTCAAAGTAAAGTAAGCTTTAAAAAGTCTTTTAATGATCACTTGGAGTTGATGAATTTGGAATTCCACTGTCTACTGTAATTCGGGGAGTTTTCACGTTCCTCCAGTTCATATCTGACATCTGATAGGTGAATTGAGGCTGAAATGAAAAGAATTGTTGCTAAGATGAAGAATTCCATGGAACAGTCACAGAAGCGTCCATTCCCAACGAGCCTGTTCAAGGAAGCATATTTGAATGTGTGGCTTTCTTTCTACTTCAGGATTTCCTTTAAAAAAAGGTTGCCAATCAAACGTGGTTAGCGGGGTGGTCAAACGAAAAATTCGTGACTTTAGCAAGACACCACTTTTTTTTCGCTCACGCAGCATGACCTCATGTGAATGAGCACATTCTCGTTCCTCAATGGAGGTATTTTTCATGCGGCGCTCTTTTTAGGCATAATGCTTTCTCTGCAATTTTCCTTCCCTCGCACTTCCCTCATTCATTACTTTAGAAAAGTAATTTTTTCTTTCATATGGTCGTTTGTGGCGGAATGTTCTTGCAAGCTACCATCGTGTGGCTCATTCATCATGAAGAATCTATTCTGCTAACCACAGCAAAGCCTTTTTCTAAGACATGATCGCTCATTCCGGTGCTACTCCCCCGCGTCAACAAGCCGTAGTCCACGCTGCAACGTGTTCCAGACTGGATTAAAATCTTCGGTAGTGAAATTCGATTCTCTTGGTCGTTATTTCAGTATGTCATATACGGAAATCGCATTATCGTTTTATCCTCTTCCCATTTTTTAAACTTATTTATATTCCTGCTTGACAAGGAAACTGCCAGATCTTCGATGTAATGGGCATTCTTTTGGGAGTTGAATAAGCCGCAAGGCATTATCCAGAAATTTTAATGGAGTCATGTACCATAACCTAACTGAAGTATCTGCTTTTTCAAATCCGCTTTGCTTACTTCGGACTTATACTCTGCCAGTCACAGCTGGGGAGGCTGGTCTTATAGGGTTTGAAATGAAAAACGCTTGATGATTCTAGAAAAAGTAATGGGATGCTCGAGTAGTGTAGGGAAGACTCCATTCCTGTTCCGTCCTATCACTTTTAAAGTGTATATTGAAAGCGGTTATCCGCCGGCTTTGATTGATTACTTTTTAGTACCTGAGCAGCTGAAGCGCATGTACAACCTTCAAAATGGAACAAATGATGCTCCAATTCGAGCAAATGTTTTTGATGACTTGGATGTGGACGGTTCCGTAACAAGCTCGATTCATTCGAGAGACCGACAGCAAACATTAGACACGTCATCGACGTCTATTTCCAGAAGAGATCTCAGTAGTACTGCCAACAATTGGATTCGATTGAATGTTGGCGGAAAGGCATGTATTTAATTAATGGATAAGATTTGATAGCGTCAAGCAGTGCGTTACTTCGTTTAGATCTTTCAAACCACTCGTGACACATTGATGAAAGTACCTGGCTCATTCCTTTATCGTTTATGTCAGGATGACAAGAGACTGCCCAGCGTAAAGGTTCCTCTTTTTGTAATGCTCATTTTTCCTTTCTAATTGCTTTAGAGCAGCCTCTTTCGCAGACCACAATATAATTTGCAGGATGAGACTGGTGCCTACTTGATCGATCGAGATGCAGATTATTTTTCACCCGTTTTAAATTACCTCAGACACGGCAGGCTTATAATAAATCCCGGTTTAGCCGATGAAGGTAAGTTTCATGACACGTTTCCTGCTATTTCCTTTCCATCAAAGTCTTCTCGGCTTAATCGGCATGTTTATTAGCCGGAAAGAGGTTCAAGAGGAAATTCCAGGAGTTCTGGAAGAGGCGGAATTTTACAATCTACCTCAATTGGTGCACCTCGTAAATGAGAGGATTCATGAAAGGGAAAGAAGCTCGAATGAAACTGGGGTGAGACCTAATATACTTTTTTGGTGCTATTTTTTCAGCTCGAGCCCATTTTATTTTTATTTCTCATGCGAAAATTACAGCGATTCAAAAGCGTATATCGTGTGATTCAATGTCATGAAGAAGAACTGACCACATTCATTTCGGCAACAAGCGATGGCTGGAAAATTGTCCAGGTGCGATGTGATTTTCGATCAATAATTAATGAGTCTAAAAGAATCTGACGAACAGCCCTAGTAAACACTCCCGAATACGCCACGCTTTCGAACTTCATTGGAATATACAAAGTATTTGATGTGTTTTAGGTTCTTCCTGTGCAGAGCAGATACCAGGATTACACAGTTGATAGGCAGCAAGAGTATTTATGTATTGTTGTGCGAGAATGTCCTGATAATGGTTCGGTCAGCGATAGCCGCGATAGAGCAACTCTGCTCCAACAGAAAGCTAGACGTAGGTTGTATTGCTTCTTTCTATCTTTGTTTCGCTAATGAGCTCTAGTTGTTGTCGAATTAATCCTATTAACTATTTATTATGGGCTCTTTTGACCAGTATTCGTTCTTGGATATGTGAAGATTGATGTTCGTTGGATGTCATCGCTTTTCTAATCCAAAGCCCCTGGAAGCTACTCTATGAAATTGAGTCAATATGAAAATAGGATGTAATGGAAGTATTTGCAGATAACTAGCTGGAGCGTTGAACTTCGTTCACAAAATGCCACTTATCAAGAAATTGCTTCAAGGTGACATTAGTATCGAGAAACTTCATATTTTCCCATTTTCCTTTCATTTCACACATCATATTTTTGATTGTTACGTTATGCATTCACAATTAAGAAATTTTTTACTTCTACGATATGAAAATGTCATATTAAGGTGACTGTCTAATCATTTTGTATAGCTGCTCAATTTCTATTCTCCCCTACAACGGTTCTAATTTTCTAATCTCATTTCGCACTTTTCCAAGCCCAAACAGCCGATTTCCGTATCATATTGTATTGCACACTTCTTACGTCTTTGTTTCTGCTATAATTTATACTTTGTAATTTATTATAATGGTGTGTTTTCTTCATTATGTAGGACCAAACTTTGTCCAGTGTTTTATACTTTTTTCTTGAATATGAAATGCGTATAGCAAACAATGCTTCACAACGTTCCAGCACTTCTTTGTGTCAATGTACACCTAGTCTTTTTTAATCCCTCCTCGTTGTCTGTCATAATTCTTTACTCGCTTTATGATCTCCCATTTTTTTCAACGAACGAAGCAGCTTTTGCACCATGTTTCCATATTTAAGTATTAAATAAAGTTCGGTGATTTTGTGTATTTGTCAGATCGCCAGGCTAACGCTGGGTTTCCCTTCTTTTCGTGTAAAGTTGGCCTGCCGCCCACGTTCCTCCCGAATTTGGAATTATGGTACAGGAAAACAGGAGTTGTGAATTACGTTCAAACACTTACCAGGTACACGTTGTGAGCGCCTCGCCCGTCATCAGCGGAGTCTTGCTCAACTCATGGGTGTTTAAGAAACTCGGTTCATCCACCTCCTTGCGCAGATTTACTCAGATTACGCTCATTTCACGCACACCCTACTCCTAAGCACCTAGCGGGCGGTATACAGTCGAGTCACTTTCTAGCACATACCATCAGAATCTTAATCTCCACCTTTACTCGTATCGAATTCGAACAATCCGGGTAAAAGTCACAATTTTGGCGCTCGTCCCAACCCCTGTGGGTGAACTGCAGTTGCTCACCTAATATCAGGACACCCATATTGTCGCTCGAACCTCTATACAATCTGAACGCATAAGCAAGCACAAGTTATGGACTCTTCTCCTCATACATGAATTTTCGGCGCAGTCTCCGACCCCTGCAGGGGAACCTGATCCTGTCGCCTACCATCAGTGTTCCTGTCCTGTCGCTATCCCTTACCAAACTTGAGATGTTGGAAAAGACAAGTAAAAGAGACGTTTTATAGAAATCCACTTCAAATTTCCAAACAAGTGTGATATTGACAGGGACACCCAGAATCCCTATCAATTTACAATGATTAAATCATGAAAACAAAGTTATACAACCAATCGATAAGTGATGTAGCGACCAGCGGTTTCTGATGGACGTACGATTTTAACGACTTGACCACGTTTGAGTCCAAAATATCGAGCAACTGGATCCGAGAGTTGAATACGAGGCAATTGAGTATCTTTCAATTTGCTGAAAATTCAGTAAACTTACTTTTTCTTCAAGTCAAAGGCAAGATGAAGTTGCCAAAGAATAGGAAATAATGAAGGAACTCACTATCTTGCTAGTAGTTCAGCTTTTTCGTCACTAGTCATGACAACATGTTCTGGGACAAGTTCATGCTCCGTAATATTTACCATTAATTCAGATTCCAGAAAATGCTCCAGGATATACTTTGGAGCCATATCAGCTATAGCCTGAAGGAAATACTAAGTTAGCAAAGGCTAACTGGTAACTCTGAGCTAGGAATAAACACAACAAATTAATTACCTGCTTTGCGCTCGGAGTCATTCCAGTTTGAACCACTATAATTGCTCTAGTAATTGTTTGTTCCTGCATCTGCTGGCAAATGGCTTTAATCGTTTTTATTCCTATTTTTGTGTCTTCTGGGAAGAAAACAAACATCTGATCTGAAAAAATAAACAATCGCATTGGCCATTCAATTTACAATTCCTTTCAAAGCCAGGGAAACACACCTGTTGGATCATCGTTATGAGCAACAAGAATGGTGAGATCACTGCGAGCCGGTTTCCTTTCACTCGGACGATCGCCAAACATCTCTTTGAACTCCTCTAGTGTTTGATCCAATTCTTCTTGGGTCACTAAGTATCCGCGATCGTGACACATCTAAACAGGGGCAACTTATAATCAGAAAATACAGTTCTCCCATGAAATCCTCTGCAAAAAATGAAGATAGCTTACAAGGGCTTTATAAACAAACCTGCATTATGGTCTTCCTCACTCGCCAAAGTTTATACGTTTCTTGCTCGTCATCTGCCATGTTACTCTGAAGTACTCACAAAAGATATCAATAAGACCATCTTCTAGTTAATAATATTAATATGATAGTATCCGCAAGGTACAGATAAATACATCAGACATCGACTGGTATTTTTGACAACTTGAAAACTGGGTAAAACTTTATCATAAAATCTTGTAATTGCGAACGTAACAAACGAACAAACTCTATACTATTATACAAACCATATGAGGTTAGAAAATGGAAGAGAACATACTAGTACTCGTAAGACTCCGGACTATCTGTAAAACCTGATCTCTCAGGCTATAAGTTCAAAAATATGAGTAAACATGCAGAAAACACGCTGTTCATACTATGAGACTCCAATAATTGAGGAATTTAAGCCTTGTTCATTTTACCGGGAAAAGCGGTCGCGTGATCCTCTACAGAAACTCCCATTCCTTCTGGCTTCAAACCTGAAAAGAGCGCGATAGGAATGACCGGGCGATTCTTTTTTCCGTAATACATGGAGGATGGGAAATGGAATAAAAAGATGAACTGGATGAATTGATCTATCGACAATTCCTTATTTGGGCTAGATAAATTTTAGCTCAGCTCATGAACGAGAATCAAAATCCACCCGCTTCGAATAAGAAATGCATACTGAATGTAGAAGAAAATTATTAAAAGAAAACCAACCAAAATAGATCGCTCCGTACACCAAGGCAGCAACTGTGAAACCTTGAGCAAGACAGCGGCCACGCATGAAAAGCTGTGCCTGATTAGGTTTCCGTTTCAGAGTTGCACTTAGCATGCCTGACATTACAGCAAACTAACAACATGAAAATGCAGTTGTTGTAGCGACTCTTAATAGCGACTTTTATGCTTTTGTAAAATTGCATCAGAATCTCACCAATGAGGCATCCCACGGTTGCAGCCATACCGATAGGAACAAATGGATTACTCAAAGCTCTTTGTAGAACAGTTGAGGACATGCTTTTACTGTGGGATCCTTCTGAAACGAATTTGTCACAAAATATAAATGCCACAGGTGTAATGGAGTCACAGGCAATTGGATGAGTGCTCGTATTATCAGAAGGTGATCTGAATTCTAAGCAGCTTTATAGTGAAGTAAGGATCGAAATACAGATACCTTGTCACTTGCAAAAAAGCAAATCTGCAAAACTCACTGGAGAAATCTTGAGGTATCATGGGAACTGTTTGTGCATATTTCTCACGCTCGACCTGAATTAATTACAAAAAGTGCATGTAAATTGTAAAAAATACGCAAAGGAAGGTAACGATGAAATAAAGTAAAGTAGGGATCTTACCAGCCACTGCATATGCTGCTTGTGATCAGTGAAATCGTGAGGAGGTGGTGGAGACTCAGTCATAGCAAAGTTGTGATTAAGCTGGAAACACCGAATTCATGGAGAAGTACAAAATTGAACAACAATCGAGAGGAACAAATTAAGGTGAGTCTTGACAATGACATCCGAAAAATTGGACCATTAATTACTTCACCCCAGGTAAGTCCCATCACACCCAAGTTGAGACGAAACCGCAGGACCATTTCACAATAAACCTCCCTAGATTCACCCTCTTCTGCTATGATCAATTATGATCTGATGGAACTTTGAGAAGGATAAGAATCATACACTGCCAAACAGGGGATATCCGGAGATTACTCCGAAAAACAAAAAAAAAAGACCAAGACGGTTCACACATTCGTCGAGATTTTGAAGATTTCGAAAACAGATGGATTACCGGTAGAAGGACAGGATTATCAGCAAAGCACACAATTGCTCAGGCAAATACACTTGTAGTAATCTCTAAAGTGACTCCAAACTTCTAGGAAATTCAAAGAAATTACCCTGAAATTACCTATTCGAATTATAGCTAAAAGAAGCTGTCAAATAATTCGTGTTAAGGGCAGCTGCACCAACCACATTAGAAATCACGCCAAAAATAAGGAGGGAGAAGAAGGGTGCTACCGGGTGCATGTCGGTTGGCGCGATGGGGCGGGGTCGCCCCGCCCATTTGAGGCGGATCGCGGGGTGAACAACTCGTTCACATCCGGCAACCCTCTGTCTGTCCTCTCCAGCTGATAGAAACGCGATCAATGACGCCGCTACTATTAGACGCCAAATTGCGGACCTCCTTTGTATTCCGCCTACATTCATCATCCATTTCGTCTTTTCTGCTCCTTTTTAATGCTTCCTGTCCCTTTCTCACTGGATACTGCCAAATTACAATGAAGAGGTAGTGTCATGGTCGTACTGGAGCCTGACACTTCCCACTTCAAAGTAAATTGGGGTACATATTGTTTAATGGAGTGATTGTATGGTAAGTGCTTTAGTGCTCTTTCTTTGAAGAACATTCGTTTGTCACATTATTTATTTTTATAATCACTTTTATTGACAAGCACATGATTAAACACATAGGTATCGCATCAGTTAGGTATGATACAAGTCCAAATGGTTTGTCTATGGTATCTGTCATACACTTTCGTCATTGAGGTATAGTCCTGCTCGGAACAGTTGAGATGTAGGTCCGAAGATCACTGTCTATATTTGGGGAGTATCCAGGGGAATCAAAGTATCCAGTGAGAAAGGGACAGGAAGCATTAAAAAGGAGCAGAAAAGACGAAATGGATGATGAATGTAGGCGGAATACAAAGGAGGTCCGCAATTTGGCGTCTAATAGTAGCGGCGTCATTGATCGCGTTTCTATCAGCTGGAGAGGACAGACAGAGGGTTGCCGGATGTGAACGAGTTGTTCACCCCGCGATCCGCCTCAAATGGGCGGGGCGACCCCGCCCCATCGCGCCAACCGACCGCCTCCCCTGTGCACTTTACAATTTGTCAGGGAGGTTCGTAATGTCGTTGTACGTGTCTGCGGTGTTGACCAATCATTTAGTACTCACGATTAGGTAGTTCTGTAGGTAAAGGGCCCACTACAATTGTCCACAATCGTTTAGTTCCGGCTTACCGATTAAGGCCAGCTACAGGATAAGAAACGGAATCAGGATTTGATATGTGCATGGTTGGGAGGTGAGTGTCATAAGGTCTGACTTGCGTAGGCAGCATTGTTTGTTGGGAAAAAAGAAGAATTGCCCCACATTCTTAGGAAGTAGGTGCACATCCCGAACAGCATCTTCAGCTGCCGTTAAGTTCAAAGTGGTCGCAGGGTGACATCTAGTAAGGAAAAGCAGATGCTGTGGGCGGATCGAAACTTTCGCTACACCCTCGCTTCTTAACGGAAATATACTTTTCCGTTCTTTAGCGTTTCAAAAAAACACTCAGAACACCACTAATGTCGCATGATCGCTGTCCT